GAGATAACGCCTGGAAGGTTTCAGAAATGTGACTCGGTGCTTAGATAAACGCATTTTAGACAACATGACAGGACTTGGCTTCTGATCCATCGCAGAACGCGACGTTCGGCTATTGACAGTTTGTGGCTTTGTCCGGGTTTAGGTATATTTAAGAAATTTGAACGTGTATTTGTCCGATTTATATGAACTCCACAAGAGAATGTGTTTCTGTGACCTTAAACTTTCACACGTGTTCCGAAAACATTTATCGTATTTTTAAAATGTTTCAGGATTACTGTCTCTGCATCTTGGGGCTTATGAAACTTGTAAGTATGAATGTTAATTAACACTGAAACATGTCTGGACCTGCTCAATATCATAAGCGCATATTTAAAAATATTTATCTTGGTGCCATAAGACTTAATTTCTGTAGTTACATTTTCCTTCTAAACGTAATAAATATTACAGTACTATTAAAATTATAATTCACATTCAAATCTAAACTAAACTGAACCTAAGTGCGGTTTGTACCCTTTTGTAAATTCATGGTACATACTTATATTTTGTAGGCCTACATAATGTTTTACTGAAATATGTTGCTAGTACCTGAAATTCAACATTATCACTTTATACAACTCTAAAATTTAATATTATGCTGTGTGAATGTGTCTCGCAATTACATTCTACACAGGCAGTCAATCTCCTGTTTGATTTAAGTAACGTAACATTTCTTGAAGGACGCATATTATGAAACGTCAATAACATTAACAATAATGACAGCAGAAATGCAGACTCACATAGAAATCTTAATTAACTAATTTGGACTTTACTCGTGAGGTATTTTTAAGACACCTGCTTAATTACAGATGAAAGACAACAAGTTTGATCCGGACACTGGCCTGGCCAACCTAGACAAACTGCCTGACAACATGAGGGAACCGTTGCGAGAAGCAGTCACCAAGTGTCGCAACGCCGATCAAGGTATAATTCCACCTCCGGGCAATATCACAACCGGAGAAGTGAACCCACGAAATCTCAGTTCTCGTGTGCACCTACTGACAATCTCAAATTACAGTATCTCTACGCCTAAGCACCATATCATAATGGCGGGTGGGGTACGTCCACGTATTCTTAGCCTGGACACCGGATGGAGACGACGAGAATTCAATCGTCTGTCATTCCTCAGGTCGATAAGAAATGATCATCCGAACACTCTTCTGCTCTCTTGTGTATCTTCTGAACTTACACGGCGCCAGATTAGAACTGGCACGTTCGTGAGTGCCGACAAGGGGCGGGGAATGATCGCCGTACGTTCAGAAGGACTCACCGTCGTGAGAACCTGAACTTCTACAATAACATTTAAGTTTAGGAAACTCATCATTAGGGCTGTTTATGGCAGTATTATGAAATTATGAGATTTTAATGACGATTTTAACGGGTATAAAAACGCATAGAGCAACAACTCTGATAGCTAATTCCTATTGGAAGCTTTTTTTTTTAAAAAAAACTTTGGGTCACTTCCCCTACAAAAGTCGAAAACTGACAATGGCTTGTATATTAAAAGAGCTAAGTTTTTATTTCATCTATCGAGGCAGACAGACAGAGAGACCGACACAGATGGGCAGTTCAATCAGTGGGCCTAAGTTTTTTAGCGCTCATGTTAGGGCCTGAGGAAAAAATGAGACAGGTTTTCCTCAGAGTCCTTCGGTTTTCCACCGTCACTACCGTTACACCACTGTTCCATTACGTATTACCTGAGGGATGGACAAACTACCCGTTAGCGGCCCAGTTCCACATCGACACGGCCTCGTTCCATTGGAATAATAAAAGAGGGTTCAGACGTACGGGTTTCGTAGCTCCGGGAAGGGTCCTTATCTCTGCATCATTACCTTCGATCAGGCTGAGATATATCCTGCCTATTGGGAGTAAGGATAAAGCACTTCATAACCCTCTGTGGTGTGGTGCTTGGGCACAGGAAAAACTCCGAAACGTCTGTTGCATTTGCAGGTTACTCCGTAGCTCGGGAAGCCGCCTACGCCGTTGTGAAATGCATGTACTCCGCGGCACCAGATGTAAGTACCACAGCGTTCCACTCTGTTAACGCCACAGCGAACAGTGTTCTGCTGTCTGCAAAGTTCGCAGTTACTGATCCAAAACTGGCGATGTAGGCTCGGCCCCAAAACGTTTGTACCCATCTCACGCATTTACATCACGATGGACTGTGCCGTTTCGCAGGCCTGTTCTGTAAACTTCTTCAGGTAAACGATGAAATGAGACAGGAAACAACTGTTCAATTATGCAAAGTGAGACCTAAGATGGCTGTCTTCTGGGTTGGAGCGACGTGTAGTCTGGTAGAAGTGAACCAAAGTTTCAGAGGTCCTTGCTGCCTCCATCATCAGGGCGAAGGACCTCTGAAACGTTGGTTCACTTCTACCAGACTACACGGCGCAACGAATCAGAAGACAGCCATCTTAGGTCTCACCGCAGTGAAAACCTCAAATCCTACAAAGGGAGTCCTTATTACAGGGCAAATAATGGAGAATTTAATCCTTTTGTGGAATGTAACAAGAAAAATGGTTATTAAAAAAATGATGTTCGTCACAGTAACCAGAAGGAAAGAGGTGTGACCATTTATGTGTTCTTTATTTTCAGAATTTTCTATTTCCGTGATGGTGCATAGAAGTTGGACAGAGAAGTTCACAATGACAGGCTTGTAATATGATGCGAGAAGATTATGTCGATGTCACGAATAAATCTCTTTGTTTGTGTAAGCTGAACGTTTTAATGTGAAATTCCTGTCATAATAACAACGAGATGGCGCTCTCCACTCAGAATAACAAAAATTTTCTGAGCAACGAGTGCGTTTCTGTATCGTTCATCCAACCAACTCACTCTACGGGTTCACTGTCTTGAGACGCTGATCGTTACTCACCTGGTATAGAAAGTGCAAGCGTTCATGTACTTAATCAGAAAGTCTGTCATTATGTTCAAGAAATCCGGGCATTGGGTCCTGTCTTGAGCCACCTGAATTCAATCCTAATCGCTTCCGATCAAAATTATGCATCCACTTTTAATTATGATCAAACTTCATTCATCTACTTCCGTCAGACGTGTTACCAGAAGGACTTTGATGTACATGTAAATTTATCACTTCCTGTTTCATTACGAGTCACATGCCAAATTTTGTATAAAAACAGCAAAGCTGTCCTTCTACGCGCCATGTATGCACTTGCGGGGAGAGGAGAAATCGCTCCTATACATTCTTAAGCTCGGCACTAGATGGGGTGAGTGGTCAGCTTAACCACCGATACGAGGACCGCAGGTAGTCATTGGACAGGAGGCTGAGTGGCCCCCAGAGTCGATCTAGATGCAGAGGCTAGAGGAAAAATCCTCTGCCGAGGATCAAATCCCCGGTCGTCCAGTTCGTAGTCAGTCGGTATACTGGTTAAGCTAACCCGGACCGTTGCCAAATGCAGTTAATGTTAAGTTTATGTCACGTGGAATACGTGGTAATTGAAAACCCAGTCTTTTCGTTTTCTCAAAAATTGAGATCTTCCATTTGACTTACACGTAAAATTTAGGTTTCAGTGGATAAATATGAACTACAATGACATGGCTCGGCGTACAAAACTTATTCCCAGTCTCACGTCAGAGAAAACTCCGACTAATGAACAGTTAATCGCTTACGAGACACTTTTCTAGTCGCGGGTGGTAAACGAGATCACTACTAAGTCTCCACCGTTGGGGATAAACACAGAAAAACGCGTGGAATACCTAGAGGAAACGGGATTTGAACCAGCGGTCTTGGGCTAAGTCTCAGTGTAATGAACCATGCTTTGTGCTTGCAGAAACAAGCAATGCGTTCAAAGTGCTCGTTTTCCTCAGGCAGCCCGCACGTTGTAAAAGCCGTCGCCACGGAAACCCGAGTGCCCGTATCGTGTTTAATCGTTCACGTGAAGTGAAAAGTCACATCCGCTTGCCGGAAATCCAAACACGTCCACCCCCTCACCCCGTCGCCTCAAAATTTTAACGAATAACAATCCGCATGCAGCACAGTCCTCCCTGAAAAGCTGACAGTCGCTCAGATCGCCAACAGATGCTTCTGATGTTGAGTACCACCGGATCCTGTCCTGTACCACTTGAATTTCTACCGGTTTCTCAGGCATAATTTAGTATGATCAATTTTAATATTATCTTCCCACTTATTCATTTTTCCATGACATATAAATGCCACATCCTACATAAAACCATAAGAAACGTTTGTGACACATGACAAATTTAAGTTCAGCTGTCGCATAACCTCAGCTGACCATCTCTCGCTACGACAAACATAATCCGAGTTACACAACGTTCTGTATGTCAGTGGTAAACATCTCCAATTGTCTGTTCTACAAATAATTGTAAATTAGAATAATAGTCTTCGTTAAAAATATTTCTACCTGCATAGTTCCAACATTATATCATTTTATATTCATACCTCATTATTTATTATTCATTTAGTGTTCTGTCTGACGACAGGTCCATATGAACAGGATCCTTCCATCCTTTTCTCGGACTGGGACCTGTTCATATACGTTCTTGGCAGATGATCCAGAAGTGGTTTGCCATTGCCTTCTTCTGTGTGTGAATGGAGTAATTGTTGGGATTCCACGGAGGAAAACTCCGTGTTGCCTAGACCACGGCCTTGCCCAACACAAGTTATGAATTCGGGCACCGCCGGGAATCGAACCCGAGACCCCAGGATTACAAGGCCAGCATTCTAACCGCTAGACCACCGTGGCTATCATAGACCTCATAAAGGATATAATATTGCATATGAACGTCTCATATTTATAAATACGAAAGGAGAGCGAACATTTCATTTTGACAAATGTTAATACACCTAATGACGGACAGACGGGAGGTTTGGAACGTAAACGTTTCGAGTACAAACTAAAAATCGCAGTTTCTGCTGTTTAAAAACAGACTTTTATCACCGATTTGCCCTGCTCGCATAAGCTCTCTTACATACGGAAATGAGAAACAAAAGAACGGACATGAAACAGTTGAACGTGGAGCGGCGTCCGTGGCAGATGTGGTCCAGCTTCAGAACCATTAACAACAGAATGATTCGCTGCGTCTTCAGTTTTATCTTCGCAATTGTGGCACTCACTGTTTCCGTAAGTTGTCTTACTGAGTTGCTTAACTAAACTGTCTTAGCCCCTCAATTAATTTGATGGATTTTGTAGAAACGGCTGATTCATTACGCAGTGGACACATATTTATCTAACCTACGTTTTTATCGAGACTCTGTCTCATTATACTGGCATCCATCTTTACTTTACTCGAATATTAACAGTAACCGTTCGGATCGAACCCGGGACTATGTGAATACTAGACATTAACGATGTTACCACACCGAGGATCGCATGAAATATTTTTATTTAAATTTCCATATGTTTAACACCCCGTCCATCTCTTCATAGTTTATTTAATAAACTCAACAGCAGTGGGCGAAAGGTAAATTTATGAAGCTTCTGAATACATAATTATTTTATTATACATCATTTCCTTCCCTAATAAAATTATAAAGATTTGTTCGACTGCAATAGCCTACGAGTTAATTGTTAATTACACTTTACAGGGAGATCCACCGCCGATCAAGACCGATATCATAAAAAATATAATAATTTGCAAGAACGAACACAATGCAACCAGAGGTAAGAATCATTTCTTGGCTGTCATCTTGGTTGTAACGCAGCAATGACCTCAGAAACGTCGGTATATTTCTACGAGAACACACAGCGCAACAGCGCAGAAGACGGCCATCTTCGTACTCACCTAACCTCAAATCTTACATTTTAAAAATCATTTTACGAAGCGTGTGGAAGTAACACATCGCATTTTTGTTACTGACAAGGGAATTGTTAGGTTGGTCATGCCGAAACCTCACCTGAAATTTTGCTCATCTACAGAGCCCATCTAGTAATGATTGTACACAAAATTTCAGCTGCTGATGCGCTGTACAAGGGTGCGAAAAAATTGCTCAAAGTTGGTATGTATATTTAAAATTCGCTCCGCCGCGCATGCGCGTGACAGCAGAGCGCCATTCACCGGTACATGGCAGCGGAGGGCGTGGGCCAGGCGCTGAGAGGGCAGGGAAAGACTTGAGAAATGTCTCCCTCTCACACATACACGCGCGCGCAGTTTATTGAATAAGTAAGTACACAAGAACCATCTATATGTATATAATACGTAGGTGTTTTATATGCTGCTTTGTGGAAACAATGCACCAAAACAAAAGACTGTTCACTCATCCATAGCTACTATGTAAAGTAAATTAAAGCTGTCCCACTACACGCCACGTACGTCGCTTGGGGGGAGAGCAGGAAAGACTCCTACTCATTCTTGACCCCGGCACTAGATGGGGGTGAGTGGTCAGCATCACGCCCCGGCCGGCTTTACCCCCGGGAAAGGACCCCGGTGCCCATCGTATAGGAGGCTGGGGGGGCCCCAGACGCAGAGGCTAGAGGAAAAGTCCTCTGCCCCCGTCGGGGATCGAACCCCGGTCGTCCAGCCCGTAGCTAGTCACTATACTGACTGAGATATCCCGGCTCATATAGCTACTATGTACAAGGGAGAATTGATGGAATTAACTTTATAAAATTTCACTGAGTCTGGGGTGTAATGTGCAATGTGTTTCAAAAAATTATTGTTGTTGCTAATTTTGACGGGTATTTCTCCAGTATACTTTATATTAGGAATCAAGCAGGTGGTAGCTTGAAGGTGATGACTGGTCGTCATCGCTATCAGGTTGTTCAGTACCTTCGTATTCATTGTATAAAATTTCCAGCGTTGTCAGTGGTTTCGATGAAATGATCTGGACAGAAATCTTGATTGTCCAAAATTTGCACAAGAAGGTCACACATCTGCTGGTCTTCAATCGTAATATTGCGTCCTTCATTGCAAGTCGCGAAACGTTGACAGCCTTCCACATGTCACTAAATGTCACTAAAACACCTCCTCTACTGCGCGCAAACAACAATAGTTAAGCTTCTAGCTCCGCGGAGACTAATCTCACCAGCGCCTGGCCCACGCCCTCCGCTGCCATGTACCGGTGAATGGCGCGCTGCTGTCACGCGCATGCGCGGCGGAGCAAATTTTAAATATACATACCAACTTTGAGCAATTTTTTCTCACCCTTGCACAGCGCATCAGCAGCTAAAATTTTGTGTACAATCATTACTAGATGGGCTCTGGGAAGATTTTGGTTTGGGGCAAGACATAAAAACAGTTGCTCTGTGAGTAAAACAGCGGTCTGACTGATACTTTTTCTATTTCACTTCGCAGGGGACTACGACGCCATCAGGAAGTCAAACGTGCCGGAGACGCTCGAGGGGAAGGTAAATCTGACCATACACGTGCACTCACTAATGTATACCCAGCTAAGGACTTCACATCTCTCTCTCTCTCTCTCTCTATGACTTCGAAACTTAATTGATATCACTATAATAAGTGTAGAGCGAAAGCTAAGAGATTTTAAAGTAACTCTGTCCATCCTGTTTGTGTTTCAGTGTTTCATGGCGTGTATATTCGAAAAATCTCATATTGTAAGTATGAATGCATCTAATTCTGAGCTGAACGCGATTTTCCAAAGGAAAAGTATATTTTGGAAAGAACACGTGTGTTCGGGATTGAATTGCCAATTGTGGGTTCTGTCTGTTAATCGACACGAAAATGGCGGTGTTAACAAAAATGGGGTTTGATTTATCGGCGTTCCATTTTACTTCGCGGGTGGTTACAGGCCTTTCCGTGGGACTTGGGGTTAACACCGCGCAATTATAAGGAGAAAAGGCCATAACAGTTTTATATGAACACGCGATACACGAGGCTGGAAACAAGCCCTCGCCATAAGATTGTGGCGAGGAGTGCTAACAAGGGATAATAAAAATGAATACATTTTGGGTTATCCATTTTATCGGGAAAGAGGAAAATATGTGACAATTTAATAAATTTAAGAAGTGACATGCCTAAAATCTGAACTGACATGAACACAGATGATAAATTCCATTTTTCAGACGCGAGGTGGAAAATACTCGACGGACTCGTTCGTGAAAGGCGTGGTAGAGCTATACAAAGATGAGTCTCAGAAGCGACGGAAGGCAATCGAGATGGTCAACGACTGTGGCACGCGCTGTAAGTAGGATTACGAAGTCACTCCGCAAATTCATTAAACAATATTCAACTCACAAAGACGGATCATAAGACAATGACTAAGAATCCTCAATGGACTCTCCAAAGGTAAACAGTCCTCAACTCTGACTGGAGGATGAATTAAATCTCGGCGCTACTTCAAAATCGTTCACTACAGCCAACACCAAAATCCTAAAATCAACACCCACCTCCTCCTCGGTCTTCCAAACAGCTCCTTCATATTTTAAAGGCTTCACTCATTACGCACTTAAGTACATATGTACTCTGTCCGTTCTAGTGGCAGACGAGTGGACCAGCGGCGCAGACAAGTGCGCGTACTCTGCCAAGGTCATGGAGTGCCTAGCTTCGTACGCTCCTCGGGTAAGTTCGCCTACGTCTTCGTTCAAAATCGCCACGATATGCAGTTCTGTACTTACGAGTTTAGAACACCCCTTCACGGCAGTCACAAAAGACACAGATGATAATTATTGGCTTGTTTCTTACCTAACTACGACGTAATTGCAGAAGTTATTTAACTAACAATGTCATAAGGTGACTTAAATAGGTTACGGGGAAGTGATTGTGTCCTAACATTACCACAGTTCGATGATGACACTGAGGAAACTCACGACTATACTAAGTCTGTACTTCGTCCGAGATTCGAATTAATATCAATACAGACAGTAAGGAAATCTTTAGACCAAATCTAGGAATCGGTAATCGGAGACTTTAAGAGCTGCATACGGTTTTTAAAGTTAAATATAATTCTTCATTAATAGTATCGAAAATTGCTGTTTATATTTGAAAATTTCATCCAAGCATTTGCTTGAAAAATATAAACAAGAAATATTTTTAAATATATCTTGAGGTAATGATAGAAAAGTGAGGTTAAGTCTTATAAATATCTTATTAAAGTATAAAATAGCAGCAACACACTTACCAGAAATGACGTGGCCGGTGTAAACTCTCTCTTTGGCGATAACTGGAATAATGTAGCTTAAATGCTTCTCTCGAGTAAGTTGCTGTTTTTCTAAGAACATTACAAGAAATCACTCCTCTTCCTTAAAACGTTGCTGTCCATGTCACAAACGTTGTTCACAATGATGTAACACTTGTAACAAATGAGTAGCGAAATTTTGAACCCTACATTCTAAACAAACTGCAAAACACGAATCTAATGACAGGAGAATAATCAATCTGTATCAATTTCGTTCACTTTACAGCGTTAACTAACATCCTGCGTTGCCTGACAGGGAATCATGGGAAATTAGTTCGCTGACGGCCAAAAGAGGCCACTAATTGCCGGTCACGTGTTTCTTTCTTACAGGTGCCAGTGATAAAGGATTTCTTGGAGTACCAGCAGATAGCAGCAGCGTAAATGCAAGAGGTTTCCACGTGCATGATCAGAAGACTTGTTTTTCATGGTGACACCTGAACAAACTCACGCGTTTTCTATAAAATATTTTTATTTGTTGGCAAGTGAAACATGATTAAGATCCGAATTTTTAAATTCATATTTGACTATTTGAACTTTCTGCCCTTACATCACACGCCACGTATTAATGCGAAATTCTGAGCGCGTAATAATAATAATTCATTTTTTTATAATCGATATCTTACAGATTTTACAAAACCGAGTTTTATTTTCATTCAGTACCCGTGGCGTGTCTGTTCTGTCACAAAAGTATTTCGGGTTTGACCATCGTGGGATGGGAAAATTCTTCCGTTTCAGTAAACACTGCAGAAACCATCTTCAGTGTAGATTAAACATGACATTTGCCCTGAAGTGGAAACTGAATCGTTTTCAGAAACGTTTGTAGGATGTGTACATCATACGACAATGCCTGAAACCCGAAAACAGATCTTTTTAAGACATCTTCATCGTTTTTTATCCCAGGCGAATGAGAAATTCGGAGAGCAAACATTCGTACCAAGTTAACATAAATCCATTGTGGTCTCGTTTGCGCCGAGACAAGACGGAAAATCACTAGTGACCTCAAGGTCATTTAATATTTCAGGTGTGTAACACAAGCAAACAATTCAAAATAAATTCTGCACTTTGTGTGAAATAATCAGTGGCTTAATTTACTGTTAAAATTAATTTCACTTAATCTATTTATTTAATTAATTATTCTTGTCCGTCTATTCACAATTTAAAATTTAAAATTAAGATAATTAAAATATCATGTGATGTTCCTTATCGATACATTCGATTTACATTTTTAGAATAGACGGACAAGAATAATTAATTAAATAAATAAATATATATCTTCAAAATATGACGCAACTATACCAATTCACTTAATCTGTGAACTTTTGTGGTACACCGTTAAATGCTATTCTTTACAGCGAGAAATATTTAACCCACATCTCAACCCTCGAATGTCACAGAATCAGGCATTATACAAAGAATCCGGTTTGTCCACAGACCGGAGAGTTAGAGACTTATTTTCCCACTCCTTGCCATGTACTCTATGAAAGATATGTTACTTACGAAGAAAAAAATCAATTCGTGAAGTGCGTAGTGCATGAAATGTTGACAGGAACACTGATCTAAAGTATTTAAACACTCTGCTTAGTGAAGGTTGTTTCTTACATCGAAATTCTATTCTTCTGCTCGTCTTTGAGAATAAATGAACCCAAGAACTGTGTTTGGAATGGGTACTCAATGTCTAAGTTGACCGCTTTGACGAACTTCCATTTCCTGAATTCTTCATACTTATTTACTCAATGGAGACAGTCTTTCCTGAGAAATTCCCAACATTTTATGGAACTCGAAGGTTCATTGCCGTGTTCACAAGAGCCCGCCACTGGTCCGTACCCTAAGCCAGATGAATCCAGACCATACCAACTAATCCTATATCTCTAAAATCCATTTTAATATTATCCTTCCACCTACGTCCAGGTCTTCCTAGTGGTCTCTTTTCTTCTGGTTTGCCCAGCAGAACCATGAATGCATTCCTCTTCTCTCCCATGCGGTCTACATGCCCTGCCCATCTCATCCTCCTTGACTAGATCAGTCTAATTATATTTGGCGAGAAGCACGAAAATTCCTCATTACGCAATTTTTTTCCATTATCTGTCTTCGTCAGTTTTAGGTCCAAATATTCTCCTCAGAAGCCTGTTCCCAAATACCCTCAGTCTACGTCCTCCCGAAGTGTCAGAGGCCAAGTTTCACACCCATACAAAACTACAGGCAAAATTATACTCTTGTATATCTTAATCTTTATGTTTTTAGACGGCGGAAGTAGAGACAGAAGGTTCTAAACTGAGTAGTAGCAAACAGTACCCGAATTTAATTTGCTCTCAATTTCCTTATGAATCAAATTTTGATTTATTACTGTCCAGTTTCTCAGTAACTGATGGAATCTGAAATGGGTTTACTAATAAAAACAGAATAATGTAAATTTCAGACTTACCTACGCTTTTATAAGTTGAAGCAACGCACATTCATCGAATAATAAGCCACTGTTGCACTGAAATGAACATTTTCGGCGCGAACAAACAAATTTCGGTGTAACTTTGAAATTCCGACTTCATCTGTTGTCCCACTCGACTGCCCAGTGAGGGGCAAAGAACTTTGACTTTACAAGAGCACGTGACCCAAAAGACTCGTCCGACCTGTACGTCGATGACAAGACTACAAGTACGACACCCTGTGGACCAGGGGACAATCACCAGTTCAGTACCTGGGCACGCGGTCAGTCGGGGCACTGCCTTGCCTTTGTTTCGTAGCGACAGACATTCAGATGTTCAAGCATTCGAGAATACGCCGGCGCCTCAAACCAGTTTCTCAAACTCCCAGAATAACCTGTCATCTGAGCAGTAACAAACACGTCCCGAAATTACGTAGCCAAAAATAAAGTGAAACCGAAACATTGTGAGCTCACAAATGTTTCATTTTCGAAATAATAGCCAAAAATAAGTTTAAATAAATGACTTTAAGTCAAAGTGAATCCAGCTTCCAGGAATTTAAGTCAAAGTGAATCCAGCTTCCAGTAAAGATTTTCAATTAACGTTTCCAACTCGGAGTACTTTTTTTTGTTTGGATTCGAATTTGTTTACAGTTCTGTTTTACGTCACATCAACTTCGCAGACGAGGAATTACTTGTCTAAACGTGACACAAACTGCGATCAAAATTGTCCACCACGCGTCGAGAACGTACTCACGCGTGTGGTCATCGTTCTGCAACAGGACACATTTTCCCAACGTTCGTCCTCAGAAACGTGTTAGACATCCTTCAGCATAATTAGCAAATCGTCATTTCCAATTAAACCCCAGGTGCTAATTAAGGGACAAGGAAGGAAACGCACGAGACACAATTGTCATCAACACAATACAATTAACTGATTTTTTTACCGAGAGGGCTTTACAAGGTGATAGAAAAAAGGTTAGTCAATGTCAGTGCATGAGAGTAGCGGGAACAAACAGTATCTCGTATATACGTCGCATCCTTAGAGCGGAACGAGATGGCAGTGATAGAACGTCCGTGCTCAACACACCGAACTTCCCCGTGAATAAACGCGCAGACTTTACAGTGTTTAGTTACTTACTCCCTGTATCAGAGCCCTTCATAAGAAACAAAATGTTCATTACCAGCTTAACAAAATACAAGCCTGAAACTGTCTCCTACCATGGGCTTACGAGACACCGGACAAACCCCAACTTTTGAATATATCCCAAGCCATAGTACGGGAATGCACATGAGAGAAATGTAGAGGTGTTCGTCAAACCCCTACAAAAGTACGAGACGAGGACAGTATTTCCGTAAGGGGTTCGCTCTTGCGCGATTACGCTAACAGAAACTCGTTCTTGATCTCCGGGCCGGACTGCCCAGTCGACTCAACGAGAGGATGAACGAACAGTGGAGCGATGCGCTGGAATCCTTGGACAGTGAGGACCAGTAGCTGTGGAAGACAACCGAGAGGGTGATGAGACTTCCACTCCATCGCCTCCCTCGGACTCCGAGAAATCTGAAACCTGGCCAACAGCCGTGAGGTCCAATTTCAGCCTGTGGACGGACCCATCGGACCAGGCAGTTATTGACGTGGCAAGTGAACCGAAATTAACCAGTCCCTCGGAGGTCCTTCAGGCCATCAAGGGACTCAAGGTTGACAAGGCTCCGGGCGCGAACAGAGTCCTGGGACATCTTCCAACGGCGCGCCGAAAACCTTTCTCTCGAAAGTGTTCAACGCGGCAGTACTTCCCCTCGGAATGGAAACACGCTCACGTGGTGTCCATACTGAAACCTGGGAAGGACCCCACGCTACATTCTTCCTACAGACCCATCAGTCTTCTTGACACTGTCGGCAAGCTCTGTGAGAAGACCAAGAGGAACTTTGACGAGAAGCGACTAACAGAGCTACTCGACGTGACGTAATAAAATACAAGGCTTTTTCGCGTGGAGTAATGAGCGATGATTCTTATCTGCAGGACATGAATATCACCTCAAACGAGGCACGGAAGGTCGTACGAACTGCAAGTTCCAGCGTCTCTCTCTCCAGTGGAACTATAATGGCACTGGGACACTCCAATACCTAAATAGATGATGATGTCAGGCCAAGGCACACATAACAATTACAAAAGCTACCTCTATAAAGAAGTACGCTGATCGTTACCGATTAGTTCTCACAAGAAGATAAAATCTACAACCAACAGTTATGACAATTACGTCCAACAACAAAAATTTATACGTTTCGCAGTAGGCGTGTTTAACGACTTACCATGATTCCTGGTGATACTCACGACTCCTCTATCTTACGAGGTGCGATCGGAAAGTTTCAAGACTCTGTCAATAGGGGGCGAACCAGATGTAGTACGAGCTTCTGCCGCTAGGGGGGTGCGGCCTACATTCATAGTGAATCAGTGTGCCAGCCGGCATCATCGAATTAGCATTTGTTTCTTAGTTACGGGCGTTTTGGTAGTGCATTACACCGACCCTCCTGCGATTTCGGAATGGCGTGTGCATCAAATGTTGCCAAAGCTGTCGATGATGATGAGCGTTCTGGACGACCATCTTCGAGCACAACGCCCGAAAATGTTACGAAGATCGACGTCGTACCATCAACGACTTGTGCGACATTGTTGGGGTAGGCTATGGGACCTGTCAGCTGATTCTAAAGGAAGAACTCCACATGCGACGCATCATGACAACGCGCCAGCGCACACCGCCCTCAAAGTTCGGCAGTTTTTGGCCTCAGACACCATGGCCGTCATCCCACACCATCCTTATTCGTCGTGTGACTTCTTCCTCTTCCCAAAGATGAAAATTCAGCTAAAGGGAAGGAGATTTGAGACGATAGAAGAGATTCAGGCAGAATCGCAGATGGTGCTTGACAGGCTGACAAAGAAAGATTTCCAGGGATGCTTCCAGGCGTGGCAGCGGCGCTGGGATCGTTGTGTTCACTCCCAGGGGAACTACTTCGAGGGTGATGGATGAATTTAATACCTGAGATAAGTGTACGGGTTTTTTTTATAGGCGCAATCTGGAAACTTTCCGATCGCACCTCGTACATAACAATCGTGTTACCGACAGAAAGCTGACATGCCGACCAATGTCATCAAACATTTCCATTCGTCGACAGAACATTCTCTGCTGTTGTTAATTGTGACCAAATCTGATTTGCGCGGCATTATTCGCATGAAAGGAAGAAAAAAATGTGACGAAGTTGATTGTGTAAGTTACGAACCACTGAACGACCTTCAATTCCTATCTTTTTTTTTTGAAAAAAGCGTGTCGGCGGAAGCGAGAGATTTCCCAGCGAGCGTTGTTGTAATTTTCAGATAAATACAGCAGAAACTGAGCATTTCTAAACGCAAAAGCTCAGCGAACGACGTCAGTTCCATCACAGATCCGAGGATGAAGTTGCTGGCCGTTGTTGTGGTGGTCGCTCTCAGGTAACAAATATTTTGGTGCCGTTCACTGGGTGAGGGGTAGAACAGACCCGGCATTCTTCCGAGTTTCCTCCGCGTACAAGTGCGTAGCCGAACCCAAACCGGTCTTCCGACTGTCAGTGCGATACATTTCCATATCATAATGACATTATTGATCACTCCACGTTGATTCTTTTATTTCAATGTCTCGATAACCCGGACTTCAACCCTGATTACAACTTAGCCGTAACTGGATTTTTTTTATCAAATCTAAAACTTCTTGACGATGGTGAAGAGTCAATTGAATAAAAAATTTCTTGGATATTATCCATCGTCTAGTAAATATAAAACGTAAAACGACGTTTCGGAGAAGGAATTCTATCTCCGTCTTCAGGTTCCTACACAGTTGGGCCCACTAGATAGAGCTAATCCCTATCTCCGGACCGAATAAAAATTTTCTTGGATATTATCCATCGTCAATTCTATCTCCGTCTTC